TTTTTTTTTTTTTTTTTTTGAGTTGGAGTCTCACTCCATCGCCCAGGCTAGAGTGCAGTGGCACGTTCAAGGCCACCCCAGTGTTGACTGCTGAGCTCCAGTGATCCTTCCACCTCAACCTTCCAAGTAGCCGGAACTACAAGTGCACTCTACCACGCCCAGCTAATTTTTTATTTATTATAGAGACGAGGTCTCGCCAGGTTGCCCAGGCTGGTCTCAAACACACGGGCTCAGGCAGTCCACTCGCCTCGGCTTCCCAAAGGGCTGGGATTACAGCCTGAGCCACCAAGCCTGTCCTCCAAACACTTTTAAATGTAGACACACGTGATGTTACATCTTTAGCTCTATTAAATTATTGATTGATTTTAGTCCCTGGATTCAAATATCTATCCATGACTTTTCTTATGAGCTTAAGATTCATATTTCCACTCACTTAGTGGGTTCCTCTCTTTTGATGGCTTGCAGAAATTTAAAGCACATTTTCCAACACATATTTCAACACATGCATTCTCCTTCCCCATGTTCATTCTCGAATTGAGACACATATGTCTTTATTGCTGAACTGAATGCTTTTCTAGAAACTCAGGCATTTCACTTGACTAATCTCTTAAAACCTACCCAAGTGCCAGGCACAAAGTAGATCCGCAATAAATATTTGATAAATAAAGGGAATGATGGACAGCTAACAAATATGAATTTGATATTAATGCTTAAGAAATGCAGTAATATAATATCGTGACACTAGAATCATCGGTTTTAAATAAAAATCTCATTTTAGTTAATTGTGCCTGACATCAGATATTCCTTACATGTTGCCTTTGATGTACCTCTGACTGTATACAAGGTAGCACTAGAGGATTTTGTTATTTGACTCATGTTTCCCAGAGATGCCAAAATGAAGGGAGACTCTGGGATATAATAGGAAATTTTTGTCTGGAGCTTTTGGTAATAAATCAAAATGAGATACAATTCTTAGTGGGTAGCAATATTGGTGTCAGGTGCATAACTAGTGATTTGAGTCAAGTAAGCAAGTCTGCCTGCAAGCTTTAATGGATTTGAGGTCCTGTAGTTCTTCCATTAAAGATTAAAGTAACTGTCAGAGACAGATTGTTAACCAAACTTTTTTTTTTCTCATTTTCCTTTGAATTATTAAGCTAAACACACCTCCATCCATATAGCCGATGCTATAAAGCTTTCCTGGGTCAAGAAGAAATCTTAAATCAATCCACTTATCCTAGACTGGCCTCTTTCATTTCAGGGACAAAGATCTGTATCCCCAAACCAAGGCTTATTGTCTCCTCTGCGACACACATTCTGTGGGGACTAATTTGTTGGTAATATGTTAACATTTTTTGGAACCAGTTAACTTTGGAAAGGAGAAAAGCTTGAAAATTATAGTTCTCTATCAAGCAGCAAGACAAGAACCCCAAAAAAACAAAAAACAAAACAAAACAAAAAAACACCTTCTTAAAACTGCACTGTTTCCTGGTGCTTGTCCACACCAAATTTACAAATCACAGTTGCGTCTTTAAGAGCAGAACGTTAGCCGGGCTCAGTGGCTCAGCCTGTAATCCCGTGCCTTTGGGAGGCTGAGGTGAGTGAATTGCCTGAGCCCGTGGGTTCGAGACCTGCCTGGGCAGCAAGACCTCATCTCTACAATAAATCAAAAAATCAGCCGGGCATGGTAGCACATGCCTGTAATTCCGGCTACTCGGAAGGCTGAGGCGGAAGGATCGCAGGAGCCCAGCAGGTCGAGGCTGCGGTGGCCGGGAGAGGCCACTGCACTCCAGTCTGGGCGACAGAGTGAGACTCCAACTCAAAAAAAAAAGAGCAGAAAGTTGTTAACTCTCAGTGTTGTTACCCAATGCCACTTCCATTCCCCCATGGGTTTCATAATAGTCCCCTTAGCTTCCCTAAATTTGATCACCTCCTATTATATAAACAAGATATAGAGAATATGCAGGGAAATTGTGATGAATTGATAAATGTCAGGCTCTAGTTTGCCTTTATCTGTGTTGAAATTTGAACAAACAGGCAAATAACTTTTTTTTTTCCTTTTAAATAAAATACTTCTGTTCCCTGCATTCTGACTTTTTGAAAGTCAAAGGGTGGCAGTACACGCTGTGATTTCTGTGCTTCATCTCACTAGGTCTCCTGCTTGACATTTTTTAACATCTTATTTAAAACCTAAAATAACCCATTGGGGTGACTGCCATTATGCTAATGCCACACACTTAAGTGGTAAATCTGGGTCATTAACTTGGGTTGATGGACTTCAGATTCTGTGCCCAAGATTTTTATGTATCATGCTGAAGGACTTATCTGCTTTCTGTTCCTGGACATCCTCTTGGTGATGTAGGACTCATCAAGTGTGTAAAATTCTACAAGTGTTGGTTTGCTCCAGGAGAGCTGTGTCAACTCGACTCCCACTTATGACTTTATTTAGCATCTCCCTTTAGCTCTGATATCCTTTCATTATATAAAAAGATTTAAAATGTCATTCCCCTTGAATAAGAAAATTCCCCAGAAAGTGTGCTGGATGAAAAATGAATCACACATTGGAGGCAACTAGAAGATAGAAGATGGACTTAGAAGAAGTGCAAAATATGTGTAGGAAAATCAAGTAGAGAAAACCAGATACGTGGAATATCATTCTAAGGAGTTAGACTATAGAAATAAGTAGATTTAGATAAAATCAGAAGAACTTTGAATATACTAGAATGACAATCTAAGCTAGGGAAAATTTATATCATTTTAAGACATTTGGAGATATCAGAGAATGCTGCTAACTGGAACTTATTTGACTGACAAAACACATCTTGAATTATTGTTTGCTCAAACTTAAGTAAGAAGTAAGAAATTATCTTCAAAGAAGTGTTTAAAACAAAAGCATGAAAAGAGGAAGCAAATAGAATGTAGTAGTTGACTTTACCACTGGTAAAGTTGGTAGCAATGAACTTGACTAGCCTGAAGAAGTTAGAGCTTAATATTTTGCTATATTCCCAAACATAATGTCACCAAAACAGTCCAGAGGATTTAAGAAATTGTCAGAGATGTCTGGATATAGGAGAGAGATTGCTATCTTGATTCTTTAAGCTAAACTCAGAATATTCAAAGGTACAAAAATCTCCCTTCATATACCCATGAGAAATTGCCAATATGAAAATAATTCAGCGTAGTTAGATATTCAGGAAACCAAATCTGGTCTTGGAAAAAAGTGGAGAAACTAGATAGAGCTTATTAATCACATAAGGTTCAGTGACATCTATTAAATAAATCTTGACTATGTGGTAAACTGAATGAGACTACTTCTGCCTGGCAGTTACATTGCCAGTATACTCTGTTAAATTATTCAAAATGTATTCAGTTTTTTTTCCCCTAAAACAATCTTTAGCTTCTTGTCTAAATACTCAGGCATACTTTTGGGAAAATGTCACATTCCACATTGAACTTACAAACTGCCAACTCTGACCTCCTCTATTTCATCAATAGCCTTACAAGGTTGAAAGCACATTAATAGGCCAAAAGACATTTTTACTCAAGGTCTTGGAAAGTGGCCACAGAGAATGTTTGCTGTCCTTGCATTTGCTGACTTGCTATTTTGCTGGTGTACATTCTTAGCTGCTTCATCCTACGCCTTTGTTCTGAGTTTAGATTTGTGTTTCTCTAGCTCAGCTAAGGAAACCATTGTCAATGAGCTATTTCCTTTTCTATTGCTGACTCTAAATATGATAACTTTAGCAAACATGAAGCCATTTGGCCACCACATTGTTTCCTATGCTCTTATATATGTTAGTTTCTGTCAATAGACCAGACACTCAAACAGGAGTTTTAATTCATAAAATAATTGGATGAAAGTTAGTTTATTTGAGCAGAAGTCATAGACCTCTTTGGTGAAGTCACCTTAGAAAATTAGAGCTGTGATAGTTGCAGTCTGGGAGAGGGCTGTTATGCAAGATAACTTTGCTAGGAATTGTGTAATGAAACAAGCAATCGGAATGATCATTACTAGTTCCAGTGAGGACAAAGAGCTATAGAGATATTAGTGATAGAAATATAATTATTGTTCCTATTATAAAATATCTGTGTTTTATGTAGAAAGATGCCAGCCTGCCATTGTCCTTGCCAAACACAGTTGCTCACATCCAATACAAATAGTAGCATCAGTGGAGCATAATTTTATGAGGACAGTTCAATTTTTACATTATTAGCCATTTATTAGATAAATATATGTGACCAAAGAAAATAACTTCAGCAAAATTTGAATTTGCCTAGACCCTTTATGGATCATGAAATTTTTTAAGTGAAACTCGTTTCAGTGGTGTTTCCTTCTCAGAGAAGAAGATACAGAAACTTCACCCACCATGTATTGTGCAAATGAATCAACAAACAAACTGAATCAAAAGCATATGAAGGAGAACATAATGGAAATTATATTTTTGACTTATTTCCATGTGCATGAAGGTGGTACTGTTTAGTAACCCCCATATGAAAGTAACACTACTGAACTAATGTTTTCTAGTCAGGTTCAGTCTATTCTGTTTTCAGTTGCAGTGATGAATTTCTATTTATTCATAAAATTAGCCCACCCCACATTACACCCACACATGTAGTTCTGTCTGAGACCAGTGGCACTCGTTCCCAGGAATCTGGCTGAAGTTAAGGTGCAGACAGTGGCCATGAAACACACCCACATAAGCTGGTAAACCCATGAAAGGACTCACCCTGTGGCGTTGGTACTATTAAAATTGGTAGCTACCTAATCTACCAAATTAGAGTCCCACTCTGACTTGAAGGAGTCTCACTGTATATCCCAGTGGAAAGATCGTGAATATGGTATGATGATGCTGATTTCTGATTTTGTTATGGAAGAGAAACGTTAGTTTATATGACCAATAATTTTAATGTAACATTTACCATTACATTAAGGCATACAAATAATTTTAAGTGAACCAAGAATAGGAATTATCAGGTTCTCATATTTTTCAATTAATTTTTAGGTCCTGTGGATGTCAGTATTCTAGCTAAATGTAATCCATGCTTATCAAATCCATGTAAAAATGATGGCACCTGTAACAGTGATCCAGTTGACTTTTATCGATGTACCTGTCCATATGGTTTCAAGGTAAGTGGAAACTGTAGACACAATTTGAAAAGATTTGAAATTTGAAAACATAACTGTATTAGTCCATTTTGCATTGCTATAGAGAAATGCCTGAAGCTGGGTGGTTTATAAAGAAGGGAGGTTTATTTGGCTAACAGTTCTGCATAGCGCTATTATCAGCTCAGCTTCTGGTGAGGCTTCAGGTAGCTTTTACTCTTGGCAGAAGGCAAAAGTAGTCAGCGTGTCACGTGACAAGAGTAGGAACAAGAGAGAGAGAAGGAAGCAGCGGGCTCTTTTGAACAGCCAGCTTTCATGTAAACTAATAGAATGAGAACTCACTCGTTACCTGAGAACCAAGCCATTCGTGAAGAATCTGCCCCAGTGACCCTCCCACTATACCTCACCTCCAACATTGGCGAAGACATTTCAACCGGAGATTTGGAATGCACAACTGTCCAAACTGTATCAATAGCTTTTCTTGGTGTGCCTTTATTCTATTGTGCTTTCTCTGTGTGCTGAAAATAACTTTATTTATATACCACTTTACTTGCCCATTTCTTCTTCAGGGACAGGACTGCGATGTCCCAATTCATGCGTGTATCAGTAACCCATGTAAACATGGAGGAACATGCCACTTAAAAGAAGGAGAAAAAGATGGATTCTGGTAGGTCCTTAGTCTATGATCTTCTGTTTCTGAAGTATTGGAGCAAGAATAGCTAAGCAAACATGCATTTTCCTTTTTGAAGAATTGAAAAGAGAAGCATTTTTCAATTAATGCCAGAGTAAGGACAACACATATTGAACTCTCTCAGAAATATCGGAATATTAAAAACAAATGGAGACACAACAGTATTCTAAGCTCAGGATGCTGCAAAATAAAAAATTACAAATGTGCATATACATACATTATGATTAATCAAGACAGATTAGGGCAAGACAAAGCATTGGCTCCATTATATTAATTAATAGCCAACTACTACCCTTCTGTAAGTCATATATTCATCTGTTGTTTTGCTTATAACTTTAACAGACAGTTTGCAATGATAAGATGTAGGTCCCTCTGAAACAAAAAATTAATTTATTTCCACGACACAATATAAGTAGACAGACATGCTGTGAACAGTTTTAATCTGGAGTTATTTCATCATGTGATACAATTATTTCAGATGTACTTCACGAATTATGAAATGGGTTTTTTTATTAAATGATAATAATTTCACACAAAATGCTCATATACTACTAAAGCTTGTTGGAAGTTTCAGTTTTTAGAAGAAATATATTTTACTTCTCCATTTTATTATGAAATTGTCTTTTATTCATCTAGACCTTACTCAAAGATTATTCTAATACATACTCAAGATTAAGTGCAGAGTCTTTTATGCCGGGGGAAAATTTGTATTTATTGAGACTTAAAGAGAACATTAACAGTTTGTAACTGCAATAAGGCAGAATTTTGCTTTCAGATCTAGTTCTGTTTCAAGACATGAAGGACATTATACATAGAATAATAGATGCAATTTTAAAAATCAGAACCAGTTACTCTTCACTTATAAGTAAGGAAGCGTTAATTATTTTATTAGGGCACACTGCAAAATTAAGATTTCTAAGACTGTGAAGTAAAACTTTGATTGTTTTAGATTTGCAAAAATATTGGGTTTATTGACTTTTAAAACTGTGGAGCCATTTGCTGCCACACGGTCAGCATGAGTTTTCTTTTTTGAACAATTTCTGGCTTGGTGAATATTACCTTAAATTGATGTTTACAACATGTCATTTAAAAAGCATTTTAAAAATCAATTTCTTGTAGCTAAAAGCTCTATAGTTGATGAGTGCATTTATGGGTTTTTTTCAATATTTAGACCAGATGGCTTTAAAATGCAGCAAAAAGATGTCTTTTGCCCTTTCTTCCCCTGGTGTTCAGGTGTATTTGTGCTGATGGATTTGAAGGAGAAAATTGTGAAGTCAACGTTGATGATTGTGAAGATAATGACTGTGAAAATAATTCTACATGTGTCGATGGAATTAATAACTATACATGTCTTTGCCCACCTGAGTATACAGGTATGAAGAATAGAATATATTATACCTTTGATCAGTGTATCTGTTTGAAAGCATTGATGGCGCTATGTTATGTATGTGTAGTAAACCATTGTATTATTCAATAACTGGTAGATGTTTTGAAAATTAGATACAGGATAAATTACAGAAGGACTTAAAAATGTCTTAAGCCGACCAAATAAAAGACCCAGCAAGTTCAGTTCAAACGCATACATTTGCCATAAAATCATGCTATGCAGTAAAAAAGAAGCTATTGTGCCTAAGCTTTCCATCCCACAATTCAGTGGCATTCTCGTGCAAACCAACCCATCCATACATATGTAAAAAGAAGGCATTTCTTTGCATAGCCAAAGCATAATTTGCATTTGATGTGACTCATATTCATACTTGTTTCCTCACTAGTGAATGTCTGCTTCAGTAACACATTTTCTCCAAAATAAAACAAAGTCAGAAGATACTGAGCATTTTGGATAGTCTGATGAAACCACCATATTTCTGACACTTTTGTGCCAGACACTTTGGGTGATAAATCTCATAAGACCTTCCAAATTGCTAAACTTTTCCTCCCTATTCAAACCAACTTACTATAAATTCAACATCGTTTATGATTTGTCTATTTTGTCAGAATTGATTGATTTTCATGGCTATAAACAGGAAACTTCGGTTATTTTTTTATTTAATAAATCACTTAAGGTTGATGGAGAAAAAGAGAATGCTGCATATGTTATTTGTAAGAAAAAAATGCAGAATTGCTATTATTATTTTCAAAATTATCATTTTAATTTTCTGGGCATATTTCATTAATTACATATGTTGCCATATGTTTTAATGCATAAGAATATCAGAGGGTGAAATAACTATGTAGATGACTGGAGTTAACATCTCTTAACATGAAAGATGAACATAAATCTGTATAATTAAATTTTCCTAGGGATTTGTTGGAAAATCATTGAAATTTAAGCTTTTATGGAATACCCAAATTTTGCATTTTGCTAAGTACCTTTCTTGGTTGGAAAATGCTAGATAAAATAGCGAAGTTCTGCTTTGACAATCTAAATGTGTTTAAGTGCCTCTGAAGTTGAATTTTTCCATGGCCTATTTTTTTTAACACCAGTAAGGCATTCGATGCCGTGTAAAGGAATATCATACTAAGTTTCCAGTAGAAATTTGAATGTGCTATATCACCAAGTGTTCTACTGCATATACACAGCCCTTAGGCTGCCTAGTGGGCAGAATTTGAACATTCTTTGACATTTTGCATTAAGAAAGATAGCAAGTGTATACAACATGAACTCATTCTGAAGTGACTGGAAAGAGTTTAGGTGTTACATAACTTTGACTTTCACACCAGTGTTTTTCATGTCACACCTCAGATTCTTGTCATTAGCCCATGGGTACAGATTCTGGAGCCCTTGAAGCTACCCTGAGAATCTGAGCTGTACTCTATAGACTAATTCAGACTTGCCTAATGCTGGCACTAAAATCTGTGACCTAGTATCTTCTTAGGATGAATAGTTATCTTTTTCCATCATTGTTCTGGTCATTGTAGAAAGAACTTAAGAACCCAGTTAATTTTGGAGGCCTCCTTAAACCAACCCACTTTGACTCCACCAGACAAATTGGACCCTCGCATTTCAAGCATGCATTGGCTAACCAATGCCTTCTAAGCACAGAAATCAGGACTCTCTCTATATGATATATATGAGATATATATATATATATATATCTTTCCTGATGAAAACTCAGGCTTGGAAGCACAGCTGCATTCAAGTTCTTACATGCCTTTTTGTTAATTTATATGAGGTGGCAGCCTCTTCTGAGTTGGTTTGGAGGGTTTTCCCTGCTTTGGCTTTTGATTTGCCCTTCCTTATTTTTTTATCCATTTCTTTTGGGTCTTTGTCTTACCTGCTCACCTTTCATTTCCCAAGCTCCCCTCCTGCACCTGCTGCTCTTGAACACATGTTTTAGCCTGTCCTAAGTGATCAGACCAGAGCAATTTCCTCCAAGAAGTGTTATGAAATCCCACTCTTCCAACTTTGTCAGATCTCTTTTTTAGAAACAGATCATAAACACCCAAAGCTTAGCAAAACCAGTTTTTAGCCAAAATGTAACCTCCATAATAGCTGTCATGAGGGAACCTGCCATGACTATCTGTCAAGAACCAGTTGGCTTACCACAACAACTGAGACTCTTTTAGTCTTTTTACTTATAACTTTTGCAAATATCGGTTTGCATTAATTTGGGCAAAGGATCAACACAAATACTTAACTAACTAGAAAATGCATGGCACATAGAACATGAAGATAATACCCTTATTATTTTGAACTGTGTCTTGTGGGCCATGAGGAGTTTGACAATTCGACATTAGAGAAGCTATCTAAATGGAACAAATTTATAACTCATCTATTAACTGTAGTATTTTTGTGCATATGTGAAATGAGCTCATTTTCAAAATTTCAAACAACCATCTGCAGATTTTGAAATCAGTGATGCATAAGTGGTCTTTAATTACAGGGAAGCATAAATGAGGCTCTAGAGTTTCATATCCTGCTTCATCCAAGTTGCAGTTAGGGAAGAATTTTCTTATAATGTGATTATGTTGTTTTAAATTTAAGTTTGGAATCTGATTAATGAGCATGAGATCTGGGAACAGAAGCCCTGCTATGCTCAGGGAATATAATAATGTTGTCATTGTTTAAAAATCTTTCTAGTCACAAGTTGCTTTTTCTTTTGAAGATTTTTTTTACTCTATATCTAGATGGTATGCAAAAGAAAGTGAATTATTTTCAATTGGAGCAAATAAAACTTCATAGGAAAAGCTTTTCTATTATGGTTATACAAATTTTGCATTTGGCACCTATATAAGGAGTCAGAATGGACATAGTGTTGTCAACAGAAAAAAAATCAGAGATAGACAAAGTCATGAAATGATGAGCATGCTATAAAACATGGCTAGAAGTGGTCGAAATAAAATGCACCAAGATTAGGAAATTTGTTAAACCTTATTTAAGCTCCAAGTGACCAAAATATCACAGTAAATAGTTATTGATTTCTTAGATGTTAAAATTCTGCTTTTTCCTGTTCCGGATATTGACAACATAAATCAGAGCCAATAATTTTTTTCTGTTATCTAAACCTTGTCATAACCTCCCCACCCAAGTCATCAAAACTATCCTTCACGATTTACTTCATCAGCCATTTATGACTCTTGTTGTATGGCTGTTAATTTCTATATTTGTTAGACAAGATTAATTTTTGAAAAGTAGAATTCACTACGATCCTGAATTAAAATTACTGTGCTAAGTGTTGGGAAAGTAAGACTTTTTAAACGTTAAACAAATAATTTTAGGAATGATTCCAGGGTTTTAATTTTAGCTTGAGAAATTTTCATTTTTATTTTTTTAATCTAATAAGTTATAAAAAGCATCTTCCTAAAACAGACATTTCTTGGAAATAAATTCTAAAAATGAACATTATAAATATGGTAACCCTGTTTAAAAACATGAACACTTTTTCTTAGGCTGTGGTGTTAACTTAGGTGTTTAATTTGACAACAGCCAGAAGCTTAAATTTGCTATGTCAAGACTGTACATCTTAATTAACCTTATTCTTACAGGACCACATACAAGTATGATACAAAGTCGATCACATTTTAATCTCTCATATTGCTTAAGAAGATTACATAAATTCAGTAAAATGAAATTTTCCATACAAATTGGGCATGCGAAGTCTTCAAATATGGCTTGCAAAAAATATCTAGAACACTTTAATTTTTCCCTGTTTTCCAAATCTCTGATGCCCGTGGCCAAGACACTGAGAGTACATTTTAGGGAGTAAAGCTGCTGGTTGTCACATCACCTGATCTCTAGTGATCTCTAGTGCCCTGTGATGGCGTTTACCCTTTGCCTCATTTTCTCCATGTTTGTGCTTGTGGCCCAGCTGTAGGTAAGAACTCTAAGCCTTGCTTCAGTTTGCTCTGTCACTGGCTTCTCTGTTGTTAATGCTGCTCATTGGCTTCATGTGCTCTGCTGTTGTATTGCAATGTAAAAAAGTCTTTTGTCTCTTCTGTCTTTGTCGCTGCCAGCTGCTAATCTGAATGAGGTGGAAAAAGGTTAGTTGCCTTTTATGTCTACTATGATTTTCATTTCAGTTTCCCTCTTTCTTTTAAAGCAACATATATTCCACTGTGTTCATAGTCAAAAGAAATGTGGAAAAAACATTAAACCTGAACACAACGTGCCAAATTAGTCCTTCGGCTCCTTGATATGTGTATAGCTTTGCCAAACTCTCTAAAACAGGCCTCTGAAATGCACTTTATCAATCTTTAGAAGATTATAATAGAAACTCTTTGAGTGGGAAGAAGGATGGTAAAAAAAAGATGCTTTATTAAAAAATGTTCTACTTGTCTGTATGCTTTTGCTTTTGGAATATATGGTGAACATGTATTATGTTCATAATGAAAAACAGTCATTTTATTACAGTACGAAAGACTGGGGATCGAAAAAATTTTAAAGTAGTAGGATTTTTTTCCCATAACTTTAAACAATTATCTTTAGCAACTTGAAATATAAAAAATATTTGAAGACTCACATTTATGGAAACAGTTTATGAAATAAATGTACAAATCTCAAGAGGCTGATTTATAAAATGACATTGTCAAACATATTATAGGATGCCATGATGACAAGACAGTATTTTTAAATCATAAAAAGGGCCATATTTGATCATTGATGTAAGTATGGTCCATGAGGTTCCAAAAATGTATCAGGTCCCAAGAAATGCAGTCATTGAATTATTAGAATGACAGTCACATTTGGAAAACCACCATGAAATCTTTATGAACCTTTATCTCAAAGACTCAGAATGTTGACTCAAAATGTTGAATTTTTATTCATTCAGCTTACCAAAAGTCTTCAAGCACCAAGTGCAGACACAGTGACCTAAAAAGCACACAACATGTGCTTGTCTTGATAGTTCCAGGTGCATAAGAAGCATTTGCAGTA